ATATGCTGCAGATTTTATTCTGCAACGAAACAACCATTTCTCCCAAGGTCCCACTCTGTTTCTCTGTGATCTATAACTGTAATACTGCATTTGAATTGACTTGTTTAGGCTTAATAATTAAAATAGAATTTGTTGATAATTCAGAGTCAATTTCAATGTCTAGAGCAAAATAGCTATGTCAAAAAAATTCAGACTTTTATTTGAATAAATGCCAGAATAGATTTGGCTAATATGCAAGTTTGAATCTGAATTGTGTTTAGTAAATAACCAATTATATATGCAAATTTGATATTATTTTCTGAAAGTTTGATAGAATAATCAGGTTTAAAAACCTATAAAGATACAAAAGATAAAGAAGCGCTAGAGTTTTTGAAAAAAGTGATTAGTGCTGCTAAAAAAAAACCAAGTGCAATGTCACTATATTACACTTAAAAACACGTGATACAAAGTATAAAGTGATTCAGCGCACATAAAAGGAATGAACTTACCTTATGGAATATATATAAATATATATATAACATAGGTTCTTCTTGTAGAACAATTCTTTAACCTATATAAAATAGATGTACATATACATAGTGTAATCTGTATTTGTATAAAATATAATAGATAGAGATAGTCTATAAACTCACAATTTTTTGAGCCTATTAAAAGTTGGCTCTGAACTTATAGAGCATTTCATCTCACTCCAGGAGATAAATGAAGAACTATACTCAGCAGTCACATCCACAGGAACTCAGGAACAAAAATTCCAGGATCCCAGGTGACAAGTATATAAAAAAATATATATGTATTTAAACTTTAGTATATCAAATAAATAAAAGCACCAGTGCTTTTATTTATTTGATATACTAAAGTTTAAATACATATATTTATGTGCTTTTATTTATTTTATATACTAAAGTTTAAATCAAAAATTTTTTTTATATACTTTAATTTTTGTTGCTGACATCACTAAGTTCCTGAGTTCCTGTGGATGTGACTGCTGAGTATAGTTCTTCAGTTATCTCCTGGAGTGAGATGAAATGCTCTATAAGTTCAGAGCCAACTTTTAATAGGCTCAAAAAATTGTGAGTTTCTAGACTATCTCTATCTATTATATTTTATACAAATACAGATTACACTATGTATATGTACATCTATTTTATATAGCTTAAAGAATTGTTCTACAAGAAGAACCTATGTTAGATAGGTTTAAAAACATGAACATTTTAGTTTTCATTTCATTACAATAAATCATTTGGTTTCCAAATTGTATTATTGTGATAATTCCTTTATTCAGACATCATGAATACACATTTGTTGTAACATTTTTGTATCTAGTTTTTAACATAAACAAGGAAATATTTTAAAATTACCAAAAAAAGATAAGTACTAACTTCTGAAAACAACAGCAAAAAAAAAAAAAAAAGACAAACTGTAGGAGTAGAAAAAGCAATTTTCATCAAACCTATGCACCGGAAAATGTGTTGATATTTTATCAATATTTTTTTATTACCCACAGCTTTTATTATTTGCTAAGAAAATGTTAGATGATTACAAAGCATATTAAAAGAAAAGAAATGCTGAACAGATATGTTGTAACAACAACGAGATATCACACTTGGTGGACAAAAATCAGGACAACTATAGGCAACTTTGATAATATACTGATGTAACTGGCAACATCCTTACATTTCTAGTAGAAAATAATTGTAATTTACAAACTATTGTAAAATTATTAACAGAATAGAATAGAAAAAATATTAACAGAATAGAATAGAATAGTCTCTCCTTGTGGTGATATCTAATTTGGCTTCAAAAAGAGAAAATAAATACTTCTTAATGCTATTATATCAAGCAGATTGCTCCCTCGATAGGTGAGTAATGATAAGAGGCACATTCAAACACCATAGCACATATACTATGCAAATATCTTGATGCAGGAAAACACTGCCACCATTAGTTTAGTAACTCTCAGAATCATCTCAGAATCCAGATATTAAAGTCATTGTCAAGAGTATCCTTATTGGGTTATTCACAAAAGTCTGAATGTCCTTATATTGAATAGGGCAAAACCATTTAGCTGCATACTTGGCCATTTGGACTGCCAGATTGTTAAAATATTTAATAATGTCAAGATTGTGTCATTCAGGGCCCAAACAGGCCGTAATTTGGTCCTGATTTCATCTGGACTGAATGCCGTCTAACAGCTAAAATGCAGACCAAATGTTTCAAATTTGAGCCCATCTGCTTCAAATTAAAAAAAATATATATATATAAAACTGACCTAGGGGGCGTGGCTTGGCTGCTCACCAAGATGGCTGCATGATCTGCCAACTCCATATGTAGAGAGCTAACACAGCAATTAGAAAAGTGATTCGTCAGCCTGACACGACAATCCCACTGCAGGACAACATAAAGAAACACCATGGCACAATTTTTTTAAAAAAAAATCAAAGCAAAAAGCCACGCTACAGGTCTCGGCCCTATCCTCACCTTGCATGCCCAAGATGGAGCCGACGGCCCTCGATCACCAGCCTCATACTCTGACAGAAGCGACAGCACATGTATCTCAGCTCCAGGGACGGATTCCTCCATCCACAAGATGCTGCAGGAACTACAGACCTCCCTTCAAGCTAAATTCACTAAATTAGCCAAAGATGTCCGGACACACATTTAAGCAATAGGTGACTGTATGGCGCATTTGAAGTAGAAAGCGGAGGAGCTGATTGAGGCTCACAATTCATTGGCTGATGCCTACTCAGAGTTGCATGCCAAATTTGGCAGCCTCAGTGACAAAGTGGTAGATCAAGAAGACAGGGATAGGTGCAGCAACGTGAGACTGAAAGGGATTCCCCCAAAGACATTGGTATCTTATGTAAAGGAAGATCCCAATGGACCTGTTAGCAGAACAAGAGAAGAAGCAATCCATTTGCCTATCACCGACGAAACTCACCTTTGACTGGCACATTGTACCCACAGCTAAGTGACTCTCTTCGTAGTTGAGACCAGGGTCTTATGCATATTCAAGGGTAAGTGTATCAAGTACAACCCCCTTTGTTGTGGGTGACAGCTGGGTATATGTTCTGGTGAAAATACACTTTCTCACCACTGTTAATGTTATTATGCTGCTCAGTTTTGCACTGGTTTACTACAGGTTATTAATATTCGCCATAAGGTTTTTTTTTTTTTTTTATAAATAATATTTATTGATTTTAAAAAAAAAAACAACAAAGAAATCGGTAAAAGGTAACAAACATTGAGGAAATATCCTCATTTGAAAAACAGTTTGTATGAACATGTGTATGTTATAGAATCTACATCAAAATTATTAACATATGAGTATTATTAAGTAACAAACTACATAAACATCTGTATATCTTCCGGACCAGCTTTGGTCACCTTTAAAACAAAGTATCATAGGATCAAACAAAAGTATCATAGGATCAACTATAGTTACATTCATATTTTAAGCTTGACAGTCATTAGAAAACCTTCTGTTACAAGATGCATGGGTGTGTGCTGCTAAGCATGGTTTATGATAATAAAACATTCTGATAACAATTAGGTATTCGAGTAAATGGTGTTACAGAAGAGACTTCCAATTGGGCTCCTGTTTTGTTAGATATATAACATGTCAGGTTTCGATATCTTGCTCAGGTATGATCCTAATAAAATTATGCTTACAGTTTAAAATCACCGTGAGCTTTTACCTTAGGAGTCGGGGGGAGGGAGTATAACTGTGAGGTGATATATAAGGTTGATAAAGCAGGCATTGAGTATAGTAGGGGGAGGGTGGGAGAGGGTAGATAAAGTAAAAAAAAAAGTAAAAAGGTACAGTAAGTTGTAGTTAGTTAAATAAAATTGAATGAAATTAAGTAAAATTAAGTGAAAAAATAAAGTAGTTATAGTACACTGAACAAAATATGTTATGGTCAAAAGCTGATAACGGACTTCCCGTGCACAACATTAATTTACAATTAATTTACAGATTAACATGTTGTGTTAATTGTATTGTTGGTAAAAGAGTTCCCAACCTTTCCAGTTATCCTGGAATTTTAACGTTTCCTTTTTTGGCACATTCCTTTTCATGGTGGAATGTAAGGTCTACCCTTCTGAGTGTGGGACAAGTCATATTTTTCCAATGAAATGCGATGCTTATCTTTGCTGCTAATAATATATTCAGAGTTGAGTGCCTTACTCTTCCCACATTAGGATAGGATTGTCCATACGCCCAAGGCTCTGCAGTGTCATGTTTACACTGCCAATGTGTAGCCGCACTATATTCAGTGGCTGTTTGTACACAGTTCATTTTTATTTTTTTATAATTGTTTATTTTCTTTGTGCAGGGAATAACAAAACATTTGTCAATGCCACAACAGCATATTTAAAGGCATAAACACAGTAGTTGTACATTTATGGCATGAGAGTATCGGCACATTTTATAATTGTTATGTTATGAACAAGCTATTCTGTTAGTGAAGTCTTTCTAGGTAGACTATTGTTCGAGAGGCATTAGTCTATATGGCGGAGATTTCAACAGAAGATAACAGTATGATTAGTTAAATGAAAAATTTCCAGTACATGTGTATTGTTAGTATGTCTGTCAGCATGGCATCTTTTATGTATTAATGTCGCTAAACAAGCCACTGTTATATAGAAGGTGAGATGCCCTTACGATCAGGTGATAAACTGTGAGATGTGTATTAAAAAAATAAAAATTCTCTCAGTGACATTTAAGACATATTAAGTGAGCCCAGCAATTACATCTGTATTAACTGTGTGGGTATTAAAGCAAGGGTAAGCAATCAGGTTGCATGCTAGGCTGATCAAGACATGTGTGTGTAGCTATTAGTCATAGTAGAGTTGTTAGATTATTTAGCTTTAGATGTACCACTGGATACTGGTGAAGTGGACATAAAATGATAAAATAATACACATGTAATGATAAACATGAAATTAAACCTTTCTATGCATTATTAGTAACAAATGACACAGGTAGCATCACCGGACGCCATTCATCCAACGCCACGTGCAGGCCGTGGTAAAGAGTTCTCTGCATCAGCTGCTAAGTAGCCTTCTGTCGTGGCAGGGTACCGCTGGGAACAAGTGTTGGTCGGGTGTCGCTTGAGTTCTCTCATGCAGTGCTGGAGCCGCATCGATCCCCGTGCCTGTTTTGGCTTGGGAGTCACTTCCCTGTGTCCATGAGTTCCGCTGCGTAAGATCTTCTGGTCTCGAACTGCTGGGCCGTGTGGTTGGAGCAGGGTCCCTCCTGATGTTGTGGGCGCCCGAGGAGGCCCTGTCTTCTCTGGTTCCCTCAGTTGTGCTGCTGTGCACGGGTGAGGTAGGTGCTGAGCTCTCTGCCTCTGTCCTATATCTCTGTTCATTGCCGTCGCTGTAGGTTGTTGGGAGGAGAGCTGAGGCCGTCTAGGTGAGTGGTCGTCTGTTATGTGTGGTGTCCCATGTTGCTGCTTGTGCTTAAGTGGGGAGCAGTGCGGGAGGAGCCCCTGTTTAGGCTTTGGGCGACTCACCCGTGGTCGAGAGTTGAGGTGTTCAAGCTTGCGACGAGTCTCCCGCATCCGTCTCCCTGCATTCCAGGTCTCTCTCTGGACCTGTGTTGCTGTTTCGAGCTCCTGCATGGAGACCTTTGTGGCTGATACCGGTAGGGTCCCCCCCCGGGATGCCCCCGCGGCCCTCTATCTTTGCCAAGAAGTCTGCGAATAGTTGGGCCAGCCTTTCCGATAGCGGGAGTAGGTAGGTGGTGTCCACCATTTGAGGTGTTAATGGCCCAGCGGAGCCGGCATGCCGGAGGTTGGTGCCTCTGCTTTGGACTACTAAGTTTTGTTGCCGGGATAACCCCAACCACCGGGGGGGGGAGAAGATGTTCCGGGCAGGCCTCTAGCGTAGTTGGTCACAGTCGGCTTGGTGATCGGCCGTCTTCCTCATGCCGTCTGGTAGGCCGCGGTTAGGCCTCAGAGCTATTTTCCAGCTGCAGTTGCCAGAGTTGGTCCGGTTCTCGGTTCTGCTGTTTCTCCATCATGTACCGATAGTTTTGGGGCTGGAAAGCTGGCTGTGTGAGTAATTTTGCAGTAGTTTGTATCAATTTTGGGTTTTTAAGTCAGGAGCTTGTCTGCTGTGCGACTATTCTGCTCGGCTGTCAGGATCCGCCCCCCATACACAGTTCATTTTATTTTTGCCTGTACCTATAATTTGTGGGTAAACCCCCTCTCCCCACCAAACCATGTCCAAGCCACAACATGTCATTAAACATAAAAATGTCCACTGTGGGGAACAGGTTATCATACACACTGCAAAGGACATTCTAGGGCAAGTCCTACTTAAAGATGCTGCGCCTCCGCCCTCGCCTCCCTTGAGCTTGCTATGATACGTGATTCCCTCAGAGTACACTGCTGCAATGGAGCTGGTGTGGGTGGGAGCAATATGGGGATGCCATCCTGTTATACTAAATGTGCTGACCCTGATGGTGGGTTGTCAAGTCTCCCCGCCTTTTTATCGGACCCCCAAATTATCAGGGAAACATAGAAACATAGAAACATAGAAACATAGAATGTGACGGCAGATAAGAACCATTCGGCCCATCTAGTCTGCCCAATTTTCTAAATACTTTCGTTAGTCCCTAGCCTTATCTTATAGTTAGGATAGCCTTATGCCTATCCCACGCATGCTTAAACTCCTTTACTGTGTTAACCTCTACCGCTTCAGCTGGAAGGCTATTCCATGCATCCACTACCCTCTCAGTAAAGTAATACTTCCTGATATTATTTGTAGGCCTTTGTCCCTCTAATTTAAGACTATGTCCTCTTGTGGTAGTTTTCTTCTTTTAAATATAGTCTCCTCCTTTACTGTGTTGATTCCCTTTATATATTTAAATGTTTCTATCATATCCCCCCTGTCTCGTCTTTCCTCCAAGCTATACATGTTAAGATCCTTTAACCTTTCCTGGTAAGTTTTATCCATGAACCAGTTTAGTAGCCCTTCTCTGAACCCTCTCTAAGGTATCAATATCCTTCTGAAGATACGGTCTCCAGTACTGTGTACAATACTCCAAGTGAGGTCTCACCAGTGTTCTGTACAATGGCATGAGCACTTCCCTCTTTCTGCTGCTAATACCTCTCCCTATACAACCAAGCATTTTGCTAGCATTTCCTGCTGCTCTATTACATTGTCTGCCTACCTTTAAGTCATCAGAAATAATCACCCCTAAATCCTTTCCTCATATGTTGAGGTTAGGACTCTATCAAATATTCTGTACTCTGCCCTTGGGTTTTTACGTCCAAGATGCATTATCTTGCACTTATCCACATTAAATGTCAGTTGCCACAATTCTGACCATTTTTCTAGTTTACCTAAATCATTTGTCATTGGCTTATCCCTCCTGGAACATCAACCCTGTTACATATCTTAGTATCATCAGCAAAAAGACATACCTTACCATCAAGACCTTCTGCAGTATCACTAATAAAAATATTAAAGAGAATGGGTCCAAGTACAGATCCCTGAGGTACCCCACTGGTGACAAGTCCAAGCTTGAATATATTCCATTAACTACAACCCTCTGTTGCCTGTCACTCAGCCACTGCCTTACCCATTCAACAATATTGGAATCCAAACTTAAAGATTGCAGTTTATTGATAAGCCTTCTATGTGCAACAGTGTCAAAGCCTTACTGAAATCTAGGTAAGCAATGTCTACTGCACCACCCTGATCTATAATTTTAGTTACCCAATCAAAAAAATCAATAAGATAAGTTTGGCATGATCTCCCTGAAGTAAACCCATGTTGTCTCTGATCTTGAAATCCATGTGTTTTAGATGTTCAACAATCCTATCCTTTAACATGGTTTCCATCACTTTCCCCACTACTGAAGTAAGGCTTACTGGCCTATAGTTGCCCGACTCCTCCCTATTACCTTTCTTATAAATGGGCACAACATTCGCTAACTTCCAATCTTCTGGGACTACTCCTGTTAACAATGATTGGTTAAATAAATCTGTTAATGGTTTTGCTAGTACACCACTAAGCTCTTTTAATAGTTTTGGGTGTATTCCATCAGGTCCCATTGACTTATTTGTCTTTACTTTTGACAGTTGAAATAGAACCTCTTCCTCTGTAAACCCACGTGTAATAAATGACTCATTTATCCTTTTTCTCAACTGAGGTCCCTTTCCTTCATTTTCTTCTGTAAATACAAAACAAAAATATTCATTGAGGCAGTCAGCCTGACCTTTATCCTCTTCTACATACCTTCCTTCTTTTGTTTTTAATCTAACTAATCCTTGTTTTACTTTTCTTTTCTCATTTATGTATCTAAAAAATGTTTTTTCCCCCTTTTTTACTGACTGTGCTATTTTCTCTTCTGTGTGTGATTTGGAAGCTCTTATAACTTGCTTAGCCTCTTTCTGCCTAATCTTATAGATCATTTTGTCTCCCTCACTCTGGGTTTTTTTATAATTCCTAAATGCTAACTTTTTGTTTTTAACTATTTTGGCCACATCTGCGGAGTACCACAGTGGTTTCTTGAATTTTTTGCTTTTACTGACAAGCCTAATGCAATTTTCTGTTGCCTTCAATAGTGCAACTTTAAATAATCCCATTTCTCTTGGACTCCATTTAAATTGCTCCAGTCTGATAATGACTCCTCTACCCATATTCTAATTTTAGAAAAGTCTGTTTTCTAAAGTCTAAAACTTTTGTTTTTGTGTGGTGTGACTCAGTCACTGTTCTTATATTAAACCACACTGACTGATGATCACTGGATCCTAAACTTTCACCTACAGTAATATCTGATACCAAATCTCCATTTGTTAACACTAAATCTAGTATGGCCTCTTTACGAGTTGGCTCCTCAACAACTTGTTTTAGAGACAATCCCAGTAGGGAGTTTAGAATATGTGTGCTCCTGGCACAAGTAGCTAATTTTGTTTTCCAATTTACATCAGGAAGATTAAAGTCACCCATGATGATAACTTCCCACTTCATTGTCATTTTAGCTATTTCCTCAACTAGTAGATTATCTAACTCTTCAATTTGTCCAGCGGGCCTATAAATCACACCTACACGAGTTACTGTGTGATTACCAAATTCTAACGTAGCCCAAACGAACTCTATGTTTGCCTCACTAACTTTTATTAGGCTAGATTTTATGCTAAACACAAAGTCTTAACACTAGTACAGGCTACAGGGTGCCACAACCACTAAAACATATAACAATATGGTTAAGAATAATCCCATAAATGAAGAGTATTCTGTGGAAATGAAAAAATCCACTTTATTGAACCAGTAACCAAAAGTGCAACATGCACAATATGGATAAAATAACAGTATAATACAATCAAAAAATGAACCAAGAACCCCTATGGATAGCAGCTGTAATCATACAAGTGAAAATAGTAAAGTGCCAGGTGCAAAAGTGCAAATGCCAGTAGTCCAAAAACAGCATAAAGTGCACAAATACTATAAGGTGAAAATCTTGTAGAAAAAGACTGCTATACCAAAAACTGCAGGGATCTTGGAGATGCTCAACGCGTTTCGTCGATGTCGACTTCTTCAGGAGCTTGCTAGATTGCTGTTGGTCCCGTTCTTCTTTTAAATCCGCCGGTCCGGCCGCCATTAATTGATCGCGCATGCGCAGACCGTACCGTGCGCACCTTCATACGTGATGACGTGCGGTTGTTCGGAAGGCGCATGCGCTGACCAAGCTGGAACGCAAATAAACTTTATGTATAATGTATACAGCCGCAAAGTGAGCAAAAATCCACTTGGAGTGCTCATAGCAATTGCGGTCTGAATTTACAGACCTGCCTATACCCAATTTAAATTATATTACATATGGCATCCTAAATCAAAATGCAAATTAGGCTGGATACAGTAAAAATAGTTAATAGGGCCAACATACAATAAAAATCATTTTATATGCAGCTATAACGCTGTGTTAAAAATATATAATTTAATATATGATTTAAAAAATATAAAAAATATATAAAAAATATGTATACATATATGTATATAGATATAAACAGAAAAAAATAATAAATAAATGAATGAAAAATAAAAAGTAAGGAGAAAATAAGAAAAACGCTTAAAAGCCCATTTGCATCACTACATTCATGATTTGAATACATACATATTACTAAGGCTAACATAGAAAAAACTATCTTTTCAATGTCATGAATCTTATAGACATTAGTATAAGATGTCGAGAAATCAAAAAATCCAATAAATCCAATTTATCTGAATATATATAAAAAGTACAAGATCAAAACAGATCCCAGCAATATAAATTTAATCGTAAAAATATATTTAAAAGAGAAAGAAGTAAATTTAAACATATAATAACAAATATACTAAAAAATATATATGTATAATA